ATCCAGAGCTATTAAGTCACGGATGACCTTAGAACAGAGAGATACAATCAGCATACAAGTTAGTTATCTCAGTTTACTTGAATAATTATCTTAGCTAGTGACCTTGATATGCGGGAACATTGACTTTAGTGTATGAGTACTATAAACAATGTTAATCTATAGAACAATATACGAGATAATGAGCCCTAAAACAATACCTATGCCTACGTGCAGGAATGCACAAGATAGCTAGTTGTAATTGTATAAATTAACTGCTGAAAATAAACTCAATGTCCATTCTTGGCTTAGCGTCTTGCGGGCTTAGAGTGAGACCCTCTCAACCCCATCTTTTAGTCTTGTCTTTCTTTTCTCAGTCCTGCAGCACAGGTTTCTGGACCTGATCGATTGTCGGCTGGCTCCGACAAGTGGCGCCCGAACAGGGACCTGAAATCTGGAGGAGATTGCTGCAGCGACCGCCGCGGAAGAAACGAGGAGCGCTCGATTTTAAAGTAAAAGTAAGTCTCCGCGGGGAGTGTATTTGAGAGTATGGGGCAAAATAATAGTAGGGGTTTATTTGTACAGATGCTTAGAGTTATGTTAAAGGAAAGGGGAATTCAGGTTACAAAACAACGTTTAGAACAGTTTCTTGTTTTTGTAGAAGAAATTTGCCCTTGGTTTCCAGAACAAGGTACTGTTAATTTAGAAACCTGGAGGGTTGTTGGAGTCCGTTTGAGAGACTATTATACAACTAATGGCCCAAATAAATTGCCGGCCACTATTCTTCCTTTGTGGCAGTTAATTCGAGATTGCCTCGATCCGGCAACTGAAGGAGAGAAATTAGATACAGTCAAGATAGAAAATATTGAGCCTTCCGCTCCACCTGATCCAGATTACAAAAAATTGCCTCCTGCTCCTCCACCGGCAGCAAATGTTGGTGACAGCCCTTTCGATACAGAATTAGACCCGGCAGATCAGGAGGATTTAGAAGAGCAAGCAGCCCAATATCATAGAGATGAGGACCCCTGGGGCATCTTTTTAAATGAGGAAAATAAGAATTTTGATATGACAAAACTAAAAGATATTATCACTGAATGTGTACGACAAAATATATCTAAAGAAAATCATAAGGCTCTGCCTCCTATTTCTTCCTCAACTCCTGAATATTCACTTCCTATACGGGAAGAAGGAGCACATAAGCCTACTATCTTAAGCCCTTTACAAAAGGCCTTGCAACAAGCTACTAAAGAAGGTGAACACATTCCCGGATTTTCTTTAGCATATCCGGTTCTTGAGGATGCTCAACAACAAAGATATTACGAAGCCATTCCTTTTAAACAACTAAAAGAATTAAAAATGGCCTGCGCTCAGTATGGACCTACTGCTCCTTTTACTCAGGCCATTATTGAGAGTTTAGGAAATCAGTATCTGCCCCCAAATGATTGGAAACAAGTAGCTCGTGCCTGCTTATCCGGAGGCAACTTTTTACTCTGGAAATCAGAGTTCTATGAAAACTGCGCTGCTATAGCCAATATTAATCAGCAACAGAATATTCAAATCACCTACGAACAATTGACTGGGGAAGGTCAATACCAGGATACTAACTCTCAGTTAGGATATTTGCCCGGAGCCTATCCTCAAATAAATGCAGCAGCATC